TGGGTCAACCTTGTTACCGATGGTCTCCCAGCTACAGCTTTATCATTTAACCCTCCTGATCATGATATCATGAAGAGACAACCAAGAAAGCGTGATGAAGCATTGATCGGTGGCTGGCTCTTCTTCCGTTACATGGTCATTGGTGTCTATGTCGGTCTTGCTACTGTAGCTGGTTATGCATGGTGGTTCATGTACAACTCTGAAGGACCACAAATTACTTTCTGGCAATTATCTCACTTCCACAAATGTTCGGCTCAATTCTCGGACATTGGCTGCCAAATGTTCTCAAACGACATGGCTAAATCTGCATCCACGGTCTCCCTCTCGATCCTTGTCGTCATCGAAATGTTCAACGCCGTCAATGCTCTCTCTTCTAGTGAATCTCTTCTCACCCTTCCTCTTTGGGAGAACATGATGTTGGTTTACGCGATTGCCTTGTCCATGGCTTTACACTTTGCACTCCTCTACACACCTATCTTGCAAACTCTCTTTTCAATTCTCCCATTGAACTGGAACGAGTGGCAGGCGGTTCTTATTATTAGTGCTCCTGTTATGTAAGTTTTTTCCCCCTTTCCATCTTATGACATCTGATTTTACACATGTATGATCTTCCTTGCTAACGTTTTTGATTACTAGTATCATTGATGAAGGTCTTAAATTCTTAGAAAGACAATTTTTCATGCAAAAATCAGCAATTCAAGAAAAACCAAAGAAAGAATAGACGGGTCTCCATGGATTGGCTTGGAGAATGCGCAATTGGATGGGAATCAAAACGGCTACTTGCGGTAGCTGAACAGAAAACGGTGGAGGTGTAAATTATTAGATTTTGGTAAATATTAGATTAACATACACGTACGATACCACTCACACAAAGGAAGGGGTATTGAACTTGAATCAAGAATATAAGATTACATGCGCATGATTTACCACCCGATTCGCTACTTGGATATCTTAAGAAAAATATCTACATATTTGCAAAGTTCATTCCTGAAGAGGCAGTAGTGAAATTGAAATGCAAACGTCTACGTAGATGTGTCATTTATGCTCGTTTTGTATCTATCAAACCCTTGATGCCTTGGCTGTTCGCTAGATAGATCTAATACTACAAATCTTTTCCATCTTGCGTGCTTGCTATCTGCACACAAGAAGGCCCCTTTCACTGCTTCCTGCGAGAATCCCTGAGCATTGTCTTCATACCGTCGTAAGCATCGTTTTCTGTCAGGGATACGAGTTCGCATGCCTTCAAGATTACAACTGCGTCCTCCATCACAATTACGGCTTCGTTATAATTCACACCATTTAATCTTGTCTGCCCTTCAATAACCTCTTGGTAACCTTATCCTTCTCAATAATGTAAACATGGGCTCCCCAACCTGACAAGGCATCTCTGTCAACTGCGTTCAAGAGTGCTTGTGATATTGTCTCGAAGAGATCTTCTGGTCCCTGAATTTGAGAATTGAGCTGTTAGCATTTTATATGGTATATGTGATAAAACAGCTTCCTATTCCCACAAAGATGTTTTCCATATGACCGTCCCAGAAGTTGATCCCGCAAATATGTCAAGAAGGAAAAAAGATCCAGAGAATTAGACTTACCAAATCTGGTTCCCATAATCCTTCACAAGTACCAAACAATTGATCACTTGCAGTTCCACTAACAATGAAATCCTTTGCGAAATCAATACAACCAATACTATCAAAACCACAAATGAAAGGCTTCCCAGTCTTCTGATCCAATCCCGCAACCACAGGACTAACGAAAAACGGACCAAAGCGACGTTCATACAGCGAACTCGAGACGAGATTCGCCATGGTGGTGGGAGAAATATTGCGCTCTTCGCGGAGTCGATACATGTTTACTTTGTAGCGGAAGAGATCCGAGACGGTGGACACATCTGTGGCAAGACCGGTGAGACCGAGATAGACAGAGGGGCCGTAGGAGAAGATTTTGGGAAAGTTGTTGGAGACGGTTAGGGCTTGGAGACCGAGACGGAGATCGCAGGCTATGGCGACACAGTCTTTGCCTACCATGGCTACGCAGGCACCGCCATCTGAGGGGAATGGTTAGTATTTGTGGTTTGGGGTTGGGGTATGGTAGGATAGAGAGGGCAGCGTACTGATGGAGAATGGAGAGCTCTAGATGTAGGTGTTAGCTGGTTATTCATAGCGTAGATAACATGTTTAAGATATGTATGGTTTTATGTAGTTAGAGCAAGCTTACCATTGTGAATGAAGGGTACGAATTCAGGGTATCAAGAACTGGGTAAATCAGAGAACGGCAATTGTACTCTTTTTTTTCTAGAGAGATTCGCAGATAAAGGGTTTGGTGATTTCAAGTTGAAGTGGTCTGGGGTTGTAATATCGAGGTTGTAAGAGAGATATGGACAAGGTAGACACGGCTGGCGCGTCGATGTTGAGCTCTCAAGCTGACGCTTGGGCCAACAAGGCAACGATTATGAGATACGACAGGTACCATCAGCTACCTCGTACTTAATGAAATCAATTTACACCTACGATATATAAAAGGAAGGGATTTTGAATTGAATTTTCTTTTTCAATACTTTCTACTTGAAGGAGTACATTTGAAGCAAATTATATTCTTGGACTTGTTTCCTTATTATTCATAGATTAACTTGCTTGGTTTGACTTCCGCCGTACTCTACATCTACAAGGTTAATTGACTACGAGCTTGTTAACACCCCGCCACAAACCTCCAACACCCTTACAAATATCACAGAACTTTATAGAAAGACCTACGAATACACCATAACAACTTCGACCTGGAATATTTCTGTTTACTTCAAGTCGATATCGATCACTCCCAAAATCTCATAGTCGAATCATTCTATAATTTATAACATCTACTGCGTTAACTACCAATTCCTAGGTATGGCTTCCAACGTGGTAGTCATCGATAAGGGCTTCAACAGAGCAACCATAAAAGTCACTCCCGGAACTTACATGAGTGAAGTTGTCTCCGAAGCCTGCAAGAAGCTTGGAAAGAAAAACACCAACTACGATCTCAAGAAAAGTAACGACAAGCCCATCGATTTATCCCAAACATACCGTCAAACTGGTCTCACCCCCGGCGCAAAGCTCACCTTGGTCGAAGCTTCCAGATCACCCGCTCCAGTTTCCATTGCGCTCCAATTACCACAAGATCTCGCATCTGCGGCTCCGGGCGGGAGATTGAAAGATACCTTTCCTAGTAATACAACATTGTGGCTTGTTCTCCGCAAATTCGAGTCGAGCAACGGGGGTGCGAATTTAAATTTCACGGGAAGAGGAGTAGCGCAACTACAAAATGGTGCTTCAGGAGCTGGTCGCATGGTGTATGAGATGCCGGTGCTGAATGTGATGGGGAGAGAAATGGCTACATTTGGAGATTTACAAAAGACGCTTGCGAATTTGGGATTGAATAAGGGGACGGGATTGCTGAGACTTACATTTCGACAGACGGATCAACCCATTGAGGAGGCTATGAAGGATATTGGAGAGTATTTCAAGGAGGAAGAGCAAGAACCCGAAGTCTCTGTCGAAACGCCGCAGAAGACTGAAGCTGTAACGGATAATATTACTCATCTTCCTTCTTCTGAATCAGAACCACGAAATGAAGATACGATTATGGAGGATTCTGATCCTTCAGATACAACTCCCTATTCAACACCCACACCCGCCGGCGCAACCACAAACACTACACTTCCCAACCCACCTCCATCCTCCTCGACCGACCCTTCAACTTCACCTCAAATTCTTGGCCCCGATGGCCTTCCATTAGTTGTCTTCTCCGCCCCCAACAACTCCACTCCCCGCGCAGCCCTCGCCCCCCATAACGACGCCGATTACATTCCTACCATCCACCACGCCAAATCCGTGCTATCTCGTCTTCAAAATAGTTCTCAAAACACGAAACTTCTCTCCTACGATGAAGAACTTGCGCTTGAAACTTCCCGTCAAGATCGTCTATCCAAAATCAAAGAAATCCCTCTTCGTATTCGATTCCCAGATCAAATGGCTGTTAGTAAATCCATCACTAATGAGTCGCACGGAAAATGGCTTTATGAATATGTCCGCGGATTAATCGTGCATGAGAATGAACCGTTCAAATTGATCTATCAGGGCAACAAAGGAAGAGAAACAATACCTAATGAAGAGAGTAAATTCTTGATCAAACATTTAGGAATTCAGGGTCCAACGGTGGTTAATTTAGCGTGGGAAGATTCGGCGAAAATTGAGGGATTAAAGGGAAAACCGGTGTTGAAGGATGTCTATAGGGAGAAAGCTACAGAGCAGCCAGTACCCGTTGTGGAGAGTGTGGAGGAGAAAGAAGAGGAGAGAAGGCCAGAAGAGGTGAAGAAGGATGATGGTGGTGGGGAGAAGAAGAAGAAGGGATTGCATAATCTTATTATGAAGAATCTGAAGAAGAGGTAGATGGAGGGAGGAAGTGGACGGGGTGTCCGAGAATGGTGGATGGATGGATTGTCCATGTTGACTTTAGCAGCGTCTATTTAGATTCCGCCAGTTGATGCTTAAAGAGTGAGTTGTGCACTAGGTGATGATGATTCATGACAGTATTCATAGGGCGCGTGGTTGGACTTCTTTGATTTTGAGACTTTGTATTTCCCTTGATTAGGCTGGTAGGAAAGGGAATCATAGCGATAGGCGTTTTTGTTCCTCGTTTTCTCATTAGATCAGAGTGCAAGACATGAAAAGTCAATAGAAGAATTCACATGGCAGCCAAATATCAAGGACCATAAAAACAATTTTGGAAGGTATTTTATTTTTGCCCTGAAATCTTCATCAATGCTATGGTTACTAGCAGCTTCAGATATCAATTCCCAGAATCATAGTAAATCGTAAAATTCTTCATTGTTACAGCTCCAATTCCCGTTCACTTGACTTGTGTAATGTGGAGATCCATCATAAACCCATTTATCAATCCATTGTATTGGAGAGATGAGATGTGATTTCTTTGTGGTGAGAGAATATGAGGTTGGGGATTTAGTGACCGGCTCTGCGGGACTCGGCAATGACACCTTGGAGCTCGTCGACCTTGGCCTTAGCACGTCCGAAAGTACCGAGCTGTTGGTAAGTTAGTATTTGTCTTGCGTGGTGATATGATGTTGGTGATGTGGGGGCAGTGGAAAACATACCCTCTTCTTTGCGAGCTTACGGGCACGCTTGTCCTTGCTGTTACGGAGCAATTCGATGACTCTGCGCTCGTATGGTGCGAGACTATTGGGAAGATGATTAGTTGATTGTTCACTCTCGAGAGAAAAGTGGAAGAAACATACCCAGAAACCTCCTTGACGATATCTCTAACAAACGCAGTGCGCTTGCTCAAGTGACCCTTGGTTCTGCTAACCTTGGGCTTGGAGACACGAGCCTCGGTTTTCTATATATCACAACATAAATCAGCCGGTCCATCTTCTCAAATTTTCGCAAAGAAGATCCTCCAAGAGGTGAGACGGGCGGGTTTTTTGTTCCCCGAAATGGGGAATTTCATGAACATACGTGTCCTTTGTTGAGACCGACGGCGAGGCCGGTACGAGCTTGCTTTTCGGCGGCCATTGTAGATGTTGGCGTTGGGATTGTCGTGTTGTCGATGTTTCGTTGTGAGCACGAGGGAGAAATTTTGATGTGGTGGTGGAATTTGAAAAATTGGAAGTGTGGTCACGTGTGACGCTAGTGTGGGTAAGCGAGTATGAAATCTTGGCGTTTTGTGTGGAGAGACAACCTCATTTATCATTCTTGTGGTATGAAGTTTCTTTGTGTCCTACAATTCTTGAACCGTATTCAAATTGTCCTGGAAAAAGAATTATGCTACCAGCATGGTCGATTTCTCAATTGAGTTCCTGAGCCCCACTCAGAATTTGAAAAGAGTATAATGCCACACAGCAACAATGATTTGTCCTGTATTCAGCAGAGCCTTGCTATCATTTCTCGAAATTTTACGGGCAACGATGGTACTAACATGTTTTTCTTGATTCGTTAGCAATTTGGAATCTTCGCTTTGAGGTTATTTTCCAACTCCTGCTGGATAGTCAGTACTCATCCAAAATTCTGATAAATGGATTGGCAAGTGATTTGGTAGCACGGAGAGATACAACATATGCTACTAGCGTGCAGAACCTGCTCCTGAATTTCGATCGTACTTCCATGGCAGTGGCCCCGGAAAGCTAGCGGATCTTTAGTTTTGATTGTTGTGGTTTATCGATTCTACTGGCATCATGAGAGCAAGCCCCCCATCGCCGGTCATGCTGCTTGAACGATGATGGCTTCTAGAAGGAAGACATGTGTTACACAGCCCAACTTTTGGAGCAATGATGTTTCAAGAGACAGTTCCCCTAAATTTAGTCCCAATTTGATGATCGAATTTGAGTGGTTGGTCTACCACTTATAGTGGTTACAGAATGTGAAATAGACCCCTCTTTGGGGCACGAAATCCTCTCAAGAACCCCAGCTGCAAAGGTCAAATCTTCAAGGGCTTTCCCTATTATTCTTACTATCTATTGTTTCGATGCCCTCATATCAAAGACTTCATTTTCATAATCGATTGCGATCTGTGTTTGTAGTCTTCCTTACCCCATGGTTTCATCGTTTTGAACGCAGGCGACTTCCACTTCGCAATTCATGAGAAAGCCTCATTGTAGAAGTCCGATCACAGGCTTATCCTCAACAGCTAGACATCCCATTTTCATTTGATACAGAATACTAAAAACTCACACAGTTATCAAATCGCATCCAATGCTGGTATTCAACATTTCAGGACTGCCCTCGCTCACTACGGCTCATCGAATTCCTCTGTTAAAACTTCAAAATATTATATGCTCTAGACTAACCCTACAAGTTTCACAGCTCGCTTTGGTAGAGATTTACCCTTTAATGATGATTGATGTATAGAAATGATATGATATTGATGTTAACTATCCTTTGGGTGTTGAGCGTCTCTATAATTACGCCATTTACATAACACCAGCTTACATACGAGAGATGCGTTTTATTCTTCGCCATTAGTTTCCCAGATCGTGAATAATTAGATTGTTGTCTTGTAAAAGGAATTGGTTGTCTGGATTGAGTGCATACAAAATTTACCTTGGGCTGAATGTATTTGCTTGCTCCATCTCCAATCCTGAAACCTCCATGAATAATTCTTGAATACGATATATCATATTATCCAATCCCAGGTTCGAGAGCATAGCCATACCAGGAAATATGGAGAAAAACGGTTCCAAAATAGACCCCGCCCTGTCCCCCGCTCCCGACTCCCGACTACTAGTCCTCCAGAAGGTATGAGTAGGCTCCATAAGACACCATCTAATGGCCAGGCTAGCTTACAAACATATCAAGCTTATTTAAGAAACTATCTTCACAACTTTCCAAAAATCCATTGGGTAACATGACAAAAGGCTACAAGGTATTTCCATAAAAGTATTCCTATATGATGTCTATCTATATCGTCTTCCAACATGTATATGACGTGACCACGAATCCAAACATCAACACTTACCCCGGTAGATATGGTTGAACAAGCCATTCAGCCATTCTGCTTACCTGAACCGTTCGTTCCAGACCAGGCCACTTAATACTCTGTAGATATCTAAAGACAGTTTAGTCATACAACCAATCCACCATATATTGATCACCAAATATTACCGGTGTTGTATGATTCTAGAAACGTTGAAAGAATTCTGCTCACATAATTCGGATTTCGAGTCGGAACAAACTCCGCATCTCACATGTCGCGTTCCGCACTCGGAGCTAAGATCTCCTTCAGGGGTTACAACCAATCAGAGTTCATGAAAACTAGCTGACCAATTATAGGTAATATGTTGAACACCAGGAACCTTTTTCTCTTTTCCAAATTATCAGTATGGATGCGGGTATTCGAGATTTCAGCCTCTTCGGTGGCGTTCAGCCTTATCATATAATAGGTACCTAGGTATAGACAATCGATGTAGTACTGGGCAAGATAAAAGAATTGGAAAATGGTCTCCTCGTATCTCTCTCAAGATTGCAACATGACTACTGTACATACTCATTTCTCAACAAGTGGTGGATAAATTGAATTGACCCCTCCAAAAATGTTGTAAAGTCAAATCTCAGCCAATTTGTCAAACCGAACAATCCAGAAGAGTCATGTCAAATATTCTTCTAACAATCTTGTGAATATGTGGACTGTGATTGGTCAATGTGAAATATTGATTGATAAGATTGGAGAATCAAGTGGGTCGAGGTTTGCTTCGTTATCACTTCTATTTGGGAAATATCTGCACTTATTATTCTCATATTCTCACACTCTCACTGGCTATTTCCCTGGGAGAAGTGAAGCTAGAGATGGAAATTGGAAAGTGCAGAGGGGCGTCCGATGGAAAGACTAACTCGATATGGAAACTCGATGCAGAAGGCTTGAGGAAATGCTGGTGGATCGTGGCGGGTGGATTTGAACTGTGAAGACGAGGAGGTCTGTGAGGAGTGAAGTGAGGAGTGCAGTGAAGTAAAGTAAAGTAAAGTGGAGGCTACCGGTGGCTACCGGTCACTTAGGTTTCACTTCCGTACTACTAAAGGTTGAAATCTTACCACCTTCACCTTTTCAATCTTGGGAATATCATCAATAATAGTGATACCAGTAGTGTGTGAGAAAGATTCATTCACTTCTGTCTTTATCTTACTTCTCTTGTCTTCTGTAAGTTTTATATTCTCTCTACTCTCTACTCTCTACTCTCACCCTCTACTCTCTGCTCTCCACTCTACCTTATTTGCCCTCGAAATCTTTTAATTCGTTAGCTTTTCTTCATATAAAAAAGATCCCGTGGGAAAGAGAACACTTACTTACTTTTCGACTTGTTACTTCAACAGAATATTAACCATCACATACATCATAATACAATCCATTTATCAAAATGGCTTCCGCTACTCGAACCTTTGCTCGCGCAGGCGCTGCATTCAAATCAACACCTTTCAGATCCGCCACTCGTACTGCATTGAGTGCTCCTCGTCAAGCATTCCGTCAACAATCTCGTCGTGGATATGCATCTGAAGGACCTGCCAAGTCTTCCTTCCCTCTCTCTATCGGTGTTGCTGCTTTGGCCGTTGCTGGAGGTGCTGGATATTACTTCATTTCTCAAGGTAATGGATCACTCTTGAGTGGTTCTGCCAAGGAAACCGCTGGTCTCTTCACACCTACATTCGACGATTACCAAAAGGTTTACAATGAAATTGCAGAGAGATTGGAAGAGAAGGATGATTATGATGATGGTTCTTACGGACCCGTCTTGGTCAGATTGGCGTGGCATTGCAGCGGAACCTTCGACAAGGAAACTGGTACTGGTGGTAGCAATGGTGCCACTATGAGATTTGCCCCAGAAGGTGATCACGGTGCCAATGCTGGTTTGGTTGCTGCTAGAGATTTCTTGGCTCCTATTAAGGGTAAGTCGACTATTTCACTTTTTTGTAAATGAAGATGTGGTTACCCCTCCGGTGCGGGTGAGTGGGCCGGGGAAATGGAGACCAGCTTGGAGAAGTTAGAGAAGGCTTTCCATAATGGTTTTTGTAGACTCGAGCGCTGGGAGCTATGGGATTTCGGGGCTTGTTCTTATCAACCTTGGAGCAAGTGACTTCTTACTAACATCTTCACAGCTAAGCACCCATGGATCTCCTACTCTGATCTCTGGATCTTGGCTGGTATCTGCGCCATTCAAGAAATGCAGGGTCCAGTCATTCCTTTCCGACCAGGTAGACAAGATAAGGAAGCTGCTGCTTGCACACCTGACGGACGTCTCCCAGATGCAACCCAAGGTAACAAGCACTTGAGAGCTATCTTCGGTCGTATGGGATTCAATGATCAAGAAATTGTTGCTTTGAGTGGTGCTCACGCTCTTGGACGTTGCCACACTGATCGTAGTGGTTTTGAGGGACCTTGGACTTTCTCTCCAACAGTTGTGACCAACGACTACTACAAGCTCTTGTTGAATGAGAAGTGGAACTGGAAAAAGTGGAATGGTCCTAAGCAGGTATGATTAACCCCGTCCCTTTCCTTTTATGGACGCCAAAATAGAAATAAACTAACACATAATCTCAAAATAGTACGAAGACAAGACCACCAAGTCCCTCATGATGCTTCCCACCGACATGGCCCTCGTCTCCGATAAATCTTTCCGCTCATACGTTGAGAAATACGCAAATGATGAATCTCTCTTCATGAAGGACTTCGCAAATGTCATCACCAAGCTCTTTGAACTCGGTGTCCCTTTTGCAGAGACTACTGAACAAGCCCCTATGAAGTTCAAGCCTACTGCCTAGATAATTCATCTTCATCGACGAATCAACTTTAATACAGAGATTTGAAGAAACGGAGATGGTAATGGGTTAGATGGATGGATAGACTTTGTTTGCTTATTCCTTTTTAGAAGCGGGAGTTTGGTGAAATAAGATATCTAGATAGATGAGTTGATATTCTGTCATTTGAGAGACACGTCATCATCTTAGGCATGCGTGGATAAGATGAAACGATATCCTATGTGATTTGGATGAATGGTAATAAAACGCTGCGTCTGACCAGCTTTGACTGCGCCAGGTGGCTGGATTGTTACATCCATTCGGCGTGAGGAGATAAGAAAAGATGTACAATAGGAGACTAGATTTGTTACATAGAGTAGAGAGAAGAGAAAAAGAACATTCCGCCCACTATTTGAGTACATCAGGTTTTTAAAACTTTGAAATAAATGCATATCTGGTGAATTTGATGTATGATGCAAAGGGGAGTTTTAAGAGAGGTGAGTGATAGGCAGTAGATATATGATGATCGCTTGCTAGCAGCTAGCTTGAAGGAGTTGAGGAAGCAAGGGGCGATGTTTGAGAGGGATGATGAGACAGACAGGCTATACATAGGAGAAAAAACAGGCCGGAATTGACCACTACGCAATGGTACGTGCACCTTCACCAAAACAACGCGTAGAGAGCATTGGTTAATTCCGGCCTGTTTTTTCTCCTACGTATAGACAGGGTTCCCCGCACTGAGGGGAAGGAGGAATGAAGGGGGGCGTAGCCGGGTCTGCTTCAGTTCGACATATGATGACTTGGATTGATGATGATGGGTGTAGGATTAAATTTATTGGGAATGATCACCAGGTGGATTGTTTAGGTAGATTGTTATTCGACATTTTATCGGGTAGGAGCGAAGGGTATGTTTCGGGGGGAGGGGTGGGGGGGGGAGAGAATTGTAAGAATTGTAAGAATTGTAGGAGAGGTGATCAGGGAGATGGGAGATGGGAGATGGGAGATGGGAAATGGATATTATTAGATGTGCAGATAAATACTTTTGCTAGGTACTATTTCTTGACTAGATCAGGGATTATGAGAGAGGTCTTGAGCTTAGTAGATGGGGGGTTTCCGGGCGAGAAGGTGGGAATTAGAGAATTGAATGGTTGTGCGGGGTTTTTGAATCTCTGAACGGATGGTGTAAACACGTTCAGGGATGGATCGTTATGTTCATATACCTGTAGGGAGAATGGATGGGAAATATCTTGCTTGGTATTGTAATTGGTGAGTGGTCAGTATCAAGTAGGTATCGAGTATCAAGTTCTTTAATGTACAGCTCATCTCATCTGCATTTAGCAACCTCCATTCCATCGGTCCATTGGTTCAAGTTCTTTAATGTACATCTGCAATCAGCAACCTCCATTCCCTCGGTCCATTGGTACAAATCTCCTGAATATATCCATTAAACGACGTACCACTCCAGTCCCAATCTCAGAATCCACAAACACCAAGCTCAAAAATGATACACTGGATATTGTACACCCACATCCCCCGCATAAGAAGCAGTGACAATATACTTTGGTTGCATACCCCATCCCTGTCTGTAAACCAGCGCAGAATCCCCGCTATCCCCATCCACACCCCCCTCACTGACCATTTCTTCAGTAGGCTGATGCTTACAATCACCAGGGTAGATAAGACAGGCTGCGCGACGGGGAAAGTCATAATTGTAGCGCGCATCGAAGATTCTGAAGACCATTCTTAATTCCGGCTCGGGCTGGATGGCAAGCAGAGGGTGGTAATGGTCTTCTTCCTGGGTGCGAGCGGTGGAGAAGTGGGTTGCGACGTGTGCTCGGAACGCGGGGAGGTTGTGGTCAATGAGGCCGAAGTCGGGGAGGGGCGAGAGGAGGCCGAGGAGGAAGTGGAGGTGGGGGAGATGTTGCATCAAATGTGTATCCGCAGTAGACTCGATGTCTCGGATAAGAGTGCGGAGTTGGGGGAGGATGAGCGCGGAGTAGGTGTGTGCGGGGGGAGAGATGAACAGCTCGGGGTCGAGGAACTCGGAAGGTTGGGGGGGGGGGTTGAGCGGGGTAGTAGAAATCGTAGGGGGTGGTTAGGGTTATGTCTGGAACAACGAAGCGGCGTGGATGCGAAGCTCTGTGAGTTGTGTGGTTAGTAAATTGGATGAATTGAAAGTGACAGGAGATACTTGCTCATACAAAGTGGAATAATGTTGATGATTCTGATGAACCACTGCAGACTCTTCGTCGGTGGGGAACTGATTGGGATGTTTGACGGGTCTCTCTGGTCCATTGAGGAGACTAAGCGAATCGCTAGTCGAGGAGCTGTTGGAGCTACTAGAGTATGGAGAGATGTAGGGAGAAGCACTACGAATGAACGAGTATGGAGAGATGTAGGGAGCAGCACTACAAATGAAGGGGATGGGATAGAAAGCCATTGTGAAGAGAGTTGCTGTTGATAGATTGAGAATTGGTTTTTGAAGATCGAAGAATCGGTTATGGTAAAGGAAAAGATGAGATCCTTGCTGAAACTCTACTCTATGTAGGTAGTAGAGTAGTGATGTCCGTTCTGCGTTGCTTGAATAAGAAGAATTGACAGCAGAAGAGAACAAAACTAGAATCGAAGTGAGGAATTTAATTACTTCTCAGAAGATCTGGGTAAAATCTCGCTATGAAACTCTGACTTTATTGTCAAATCTTACCGCTTAGCTGACTCATAGAGAACTTGTCCAATTTCTATTGTCCACACATGATTTTCTGTTGAGAAAACCAACAGTGAATTTGAGAACGATAAAATCACAGACCGCCATAAAAAAAAACACAAACATGATATTCACTTTTTAGTACCAGAAACTCCATCACAACAATAAAAACCTATAATAACGAGGACAGTAAACCCACAATTTCTCAATGGAGGAGAAGCAATAGCGTATAGCTCGCTGAATTGTAGTTCTGAACTGTATGTAGGTTTTGCTTGGTGATAGCATCCTGCGATCGAACTCGGGCAGGCTTATACATACATGCTTGGCTAAGCTGAGGTCAACCGCTAAGTTGCTAGGGTACATTGTAAACCTTCGCCATCAAGAAAATTAACTTACCTTCATATTGATGTTCGACAGAACGAGGCGCTATTGGTGGTTGAAAAAGTAGTAGGAGGGATACATTCATCATGAGATGAATAACAGTTCAGTCGAGGATTTCAATCGTCCCAACTACATTCCGACTACCAAAACATTCAAATGGTTCCTCTGATTCTACACATCCCATCAAATAACACTCTGCACGCAGATGTTACTCTTTCAACTGGATAGTGGATACTGTCAATGGAGGAACTTAGATGACCAAGTAAGATCATCCCAAAAACTTTCACTTCGACGATTTGACTAATTGATAACCTCGGCAAGCTTTCACGGTGTTGGGAAGAATTTGAAAGCTAACCTTAGAGAAATTTCGCAGTGTAGTCCATACGAATATCTCGTTGAATTGTACGAAAGGAATCATGTGAGAAGTGTAGAGAAACAGATTTTAGCAGGCGAAAGATGTCAGACCTGGGTTGCCTAACATGGTTGAGTGAGACCATGTATCTCCTAGCAAGCATGCAAAAGCTAATACGCGTTGGACAATAGTCGCTTTCGGTCTGATATCTTGGAAATATTTGAGCGCCCTTGATAAGATGGAAGGACAAATGTATATCGTGGTGCTGGTCATATGCTTTCAAACTTCTAGGCTGACATATGTACACGGCGAAGAAGTCAAGCTAGTATGAATGAAAAATAAGGTCCTAGAAGAAATAGATATAAAAGAAATATGTATGTCAACTTGGAGAGATGGGCATTATCAAATGTTTGAAGTGAATTATTGCTGATTTCCAACAACAGACAATTGGTGATAAAGGTATCTTTCCAATGCGAAGTTTATCAAAAACTCTGCATTTCGCATATGATTTCCGACCTGGTCCTTTCTGGGTGGGGGCACAACAGTCACTGTTGACGCTTTGTCTCTGATCAACCATGGCTCTGGTTTACATTGGAAAATTGCCATATTAGAGCCTTACTAGCTCCTCCTCTCAATGCTATTCCACTGTGATTGAGCGAGTTATGGTAGCTAGACCATCTTGGGATAAAGAACATCGACGAGAAGCCAAGTCTCTCCCGTATTATTGAACTTTTGATCGTTCAATACTATTTTAGGTATTTGGAACTCTCGTATACTTCCACTGGAGTGACGAAGATAGAATCAAGTCTTCTAATCATGAGCAAATCATTCTGATAGAGTCAAACTTCTCCTTTGGAAAGTAAACGTCAGAAAGAGAGAAAAAAAAGTTCAGATCTCTCGGAAAGGATCAATGAGGAGGAGTCAAAGTAAAATGCTGGGGAAGGTTGGTGGCTGTTTTGTCAGCTTGAGCTACTTTGCACCACCTTCTATTAAGATTTCAAGATTAACATCAACCACCTCCTCATTCCGACGAAAAGAAAGCCGGTAGAGCAAACCCTTGCCCTTGAAGATAACCAAAATGAATACCAGACTCATTTGCTCAACAACAATGAAACAAGCAATCAATGATAGCCAGCAGTACTGGAGTGGCTCTTGGCTCTTTAGATACTGAAGCATTCATTTGACGCAGGGTTGGACAGGTTCACCAACATTTTGAAGCGGTTTTTCGACCACCAGAGGGCTTTTGGTTGACCCCATTTGATTCTCTTATTCAACCAGTCGTAAGTTGTGTTGATTTTGTAAGTGTTGTAATGCGAGAATTAAAGTCAAAGGTCGGAGGTCGGAGGATGTGCCCTACTCTGCCTCGAGTCTGCCTCAGGAGAATTAAAATCAAAGGTCAGAGGACGTGCCCTACTTCCCTACTCAGCCTCGAACCATATAACAAACCACCAACATTCACACAAACAAACATTTCCCTCATTCTTTTAAATCTCAATCATATGTTGAAAGATTTAGTCTCTTGAATTTTCTCTGGTAAAGGTTTCATATTTTATTTCAGGTTTTTAATCACTTACAACTGTTCAATACTGTTCATAAAGCATCTAGCCAATGACATCGTCCCAAGCGACAGTCATATATGATGTATGGGCTTTTCATTCTATACTTGCAGATACCGGAATTTCACAAGCTGGGGTGATTTTGATTTACGAGGGCGGCAAGTCAGTAGAAAATGATTATCATCTTTGTGTCTATCATACATCTCGGGACCTTTCAAAATGGCACACTTCCTATAAGCAATCACTACAATGTTCACTAGGTGGAAATATGATCTATAAAGGTAAAGTTTTCGGAGACGATATAGTACCATTTGATGCGATTTGTCGGAGCGTGGAACCAATAGCGAAGAAACTTGGTGTACCATTGAATAGCGCTGCTGACTGGATTGAAACATGGGAGGACTATATGAGTCGTGCAAATATTGCGCACATTCTTTTCGACAGGCCTGAAAAGCTCCCTATTGAGTGCGTCAGTCATATCCCTTACTCGAAATCACGGAATGAACATCCGTCATCGTATGCTTTTGAATCCGTTGATTGGAACAACATGGCATACAAGCCACAAAGAAGTGCTGTACCAGATCAGAAAAATTCTCGAAATTCTCGGAGTTCTAACATGGAACCACATCATAAGTATTACGCGCGGCAGCGATATGTATCCAGAGATTCAGAATCTTCTGACGATGATCTGGACTACTCTGGGGAAGAGGAGGAATTTCATGAGCCCCGATCAGCAAGACATTCTCGCTTACCTAGAGGGTACAGACGAGACGATGGGCCAAGTGAAAAGCCTGAAAACAAGAATTTGAAGTATGCAGGCATGATTGCTGAAACGGTGACAGCTAATGCCATTGGAGATGTGTTTGGGTTGATATTCGAGTCTGTTATTGGGGCTATTTTGTAGGAAGTCGATAGCAAACACTTTATAATTCTAGTTGTCAGTTTGTAGCATTGCATACAGTGTCAATCAATCTTATTTTTTGCTCTAATAGACATTTACATGTATCCATGGCTCGAGACCACAGCAAGAGATCTCTTCTTTATTTTCATATCTATTATGTACATTGAAATACTCAAGCATTTTGAACCTTTCTTCAAGGCTTCGCACAGGACTGGGAAATACCGCTCCACAACTTCCGAATCGTCTATTGCGGCAAATAGAATTAGCGACAGTCGCCATCAATAAGTTCGATGTCTTCACAAGGAAGCACAAACCTTTGGATTTAGAATTTCATTTTCTCCTCGATCATCTCTGGCTCTCCGAGGGCGTAGAACTTGTCTTCGTCTTCTGGGTCTATATCCGCTGGCAGGATTCCTATTCACATATCCACCCCTGTATTTTTGTCTTTCTCCTCTCTCGTGTTTCCTTACCTCACACCCCAATCTTCTTCTTAACCTTCCCAACATCATAGAATCGCATCCCCCCGGGCGCTCTATCTCACTTCTTCTCCTTCTCCTTCTAGAATCTCTTTCTTGCTGCCTCTCCCTCCTCCTCTCCCTCTCTCTACCCAAGTCTCTATCTCTACTCTCTGTGAGGATGCTTTCCACCCAAATGCCCTCTCGAGCCAAATCCAAGAATAACATCTTCGTCCACTCAGCTGGCTTTCTCAATAATTCTATTTCTTCAGCACTACGATGTCGTGAAGTTATTGAAGCACATATATGGAGGTAGAGAGGTAGGGAAGAGGCAAGAATGTTACCTTGCCAACTAGATCTACCACCAATGGAGGTAGGTAGTGAAGACCCGGATGCGGATGTGGATGGGATGGAGGACGAGGGGCTGTGTGTTGTGTGGAATAGATATGGGATCGCAAATTGGTTCGAGGAGGATAGCGGAGATTCTGACGTGCATGTAGGCATGGGTATCGACGAGGATGAGGACGGATATGGAACAATGAGAACGCCTTCTTGAATGACTCCCGTCTCGCCATAAGCAACCCAAATCTCAAATACTTGTAATATCTTTTCGCTTCCCATGTTTCTTATTCCCATGTTTCCTATAACTGTATGACTTTCCGATATAGAGTTCAGAATATGTATCTCTTACACAATGAAATGATGTGGAATGGGGAGACGAGAATAGTAGTAAAATTGCGGATGCTCTTTGTATATAAGTACAGGCTTCTCTCTGAACCAATATATAATGATTCCCAAAGCATTCAAACGAGTATCCACGAACCTCGCATTTGTTCACACGTAAGCAGTCTAACTCGCCTCCTTTTCCAAGCCCTCCCCACAGCTTATCATCCATCATTCCATCGATCAAGCATCATGGAAAACCGAAACAACAAGATCCAGAGGCAGCTAAATTCCCATGCGCGCGCGTGCGACATCTCACCTCATCGCATCTCGATTCTTCTCACAGCATCCGTAACAACCGAGCCCCCGAAATCAGTTCAAAGTGGAGATATTGGTCTGTGGACCTGTGGAGCACTAACGATAGAGCCCGATGTACCCTGAAGTACCCATCATTTAGAGTATAGTGTACCGTCTTACAGTAAGCGGGGATGTCAAAACCCCTGAGAAGTCGGTGCCCAAGAGGCCGAGAATATAGATTATATTCCCTACCTCGTAAGCACAAGATTCTTTTCCAGCCGATGAAGTAATAGGGGCAAATGTTTCATGTTTCAAGCTGGAAAATGATGTCTGTGATTCATGTTCGATGCTTTTCAAAGACCAATACTCGTAGATGCAAAAGTAGATGCTTAGATAGTGATGGTGATAGTAGCAATGATTGATAACATTTATTAAGGTGTGTGCTTATCGACGCTCGACTCTTGTCACATGATGCCTTAGCTCAATTTGGCCAACATTTACTAAATCAGCGGGACACGTCTGTTAAGTTCGCACCCAACAACTCTCCATCCAACACTTCCGAGACTTCCAAGCCCCGCGTCAACAAAGTTACGCTCATCATCCTTCACATTCCCAAGCAGGCCGCGATTATAAGCTGCAATCATTCCTTTTCTTCTGGTTTATTCTGTAGCCTGATCCTGTATCAAGAAATCTGGCGTGCAGGCTTTCTGATACTCCTCTGTCTTCCTTCAAGGCTGATCCATGAGAGCACAAAGTTTTCTGGAATCACAATGTTGGTATTCAATAGAAATTTGACTCTGTTTTTGGATGAAAGTTAGAGCAAGTGGTTCTGATCTTTTTGCCCCATTGTCGCCATCGTGAAATCAGCGGACATCTACTGATATTCCTATGGTTTCCAATCATTCGGACTGGTAAATTGGGCCAAGCTTCCAGTTATCAAAAGCGATACGATATTCAAAATGAGATTCAATATCTCAACCCAATTGAATCATCCGATTGAATCCAAAAATCAAAGCTTTTGATTGCCAGACTGCAGTTCAGTCCATTGGAAATTCGAGATACTCAAATGCATATTCAATCACTTGTTAAAGCCTACCGTACTTTTAGCATTACTGTCATCTTGCGCAAAGTCTTCCTTGCTCATCTCCAATCTACTGCAATAAACATATTTTCGAGTCTGGCCATATTCATACTTTCTTTGCGGAATGCCCTCGGTCTTATTCACCACTGTGTCGGGAAACTACATCCTTGATTCCAGGATGATTGTAATGGGCTTTTATGCTTCTCTGACCACTACAATTGCGTCAGGCACTACCGGGTACCAAGACTGCCAGATCCACCAGAGCTATCATGGCTGTCATGGCTTTGATTCTCTTGGAACTTTCAAGGCACTCCTCGAGTTCACTTTGGTATCGAGTCATTACTTTAGAATATTCAGTAACAACCCTATGTCGTTTCTAACATTAAATATCGCACCCTCAACTCGAGTATAGTCTAATGTATTTGACTCCCAAGGCCAGAAATTGCTCCCTTTTCTCCATTCCGTTACGGTTGAATCCTAGCAGCACTCTCGGCTTGCTTTATGTCCATTATTTGTCTATTGGAAGGAAAGAGTTTCCTGGACCGGTGATAATGAAGTCGCCTTCGTTATTGATTTGAGGTCCTATCAGCTCATAAATCTGTCTACTCGCGGTGGCTAATAGCTAGGGACACATGTTTCAGTGGTTCATTTCGGCTTCCCCTTCATTGTCGTACAAATCATTTTCAACACATTGCACAAATACCTAGAAATGAACAAGAAACGCTGCAAAGTATATGCTAGTGAGTTCTTGAATCATATGGACTAATTTGCTTAGCTGTCGAGTCATTCATACTGCTCATATCATCTAATGCCTCAATTCTTCATGCAGTAATTGCAATTCGTGATTAACACGGTTGGTACCGAGACACGGCGACTTTCCGGCCTTACATCGGTGCCAGGATGTTATAGTAATACCAGATGACCATGCGAGCCCATCTTACTGGAATGCGGGGTGCGGGCAGGTTGGATAAATATATATTATATGCCATGTGGCTTCAGAGGCTTATCCGCTTCTTTGGTTTGTGGAGTAAAAGTCTTTATAGCCTCCAGTTGTACGAGTTTGAGAATATCAGAACAAACAAACAGCCAATCATACCATTTAATATATATATATGCATTTAATGTTGGTGAGATACTGAATCGGCGTTTGATTCAGGCTGTTCATTTACCTGAGTATTTACTCATAGATGACATTAATTTATATATGAAACCGACGAAAGCCCGTCTGCGCCATTACTTGTTGTCTTGTTTACTACGGCGTGGTCTTTGGTTGCACCTACTTTAAGATGCAACCTATGTTTGGCACCACAAATGAGCTTCTAATATGTTCGTCTGACCACCTAGACCCTCAAGATTGGAACTTCATCACACAAATATGTCATTTCTTCGTTCTTACCCACAAATTTGAATATGCCAAAAGGCAATTTCTATTCCGAATAATCTGATTCGACGGTACGTACTGCCTAGAAACTAGGAAGAAAGTGCCGTGGTTCCTGATTCACTCCAACATGGAATTCGCTCCGATTAGATTTGTGCTCGTATGACATTGTGACAATTTCAAGAAACCATTTTAGCTTAAAATAAGGTGGAATCTGGGGAAAGTTGTGGAGATTAAGAATCTTCTTCTCACTTGCTGGTCTCTTTATAAAGACAGAAGACTTGAACTTTCGGCCTTCAACCTTTGACCTTGAATCTCCAAACAATACTGACAATCTACTGTCAAGTCCAGTCTTCAATATGCTTTTCTTTCAAGCAATCTTCGTTGTTACATCTGCTCTCACAGCAACTTGCATGACAATCAAGTCTCAAGATGTCCAAACCAATATTGAAAAGAGACAGAGCTGGACATCTATTGGCTGCTACACTGACAATGTTTCTGGTCGTGGTCTAACCACCTCCGTATCAGTATCTGGAGAAATGACAAATGAAGGTTGTCAAGCCTCTTGTTCAACAGCTGGTTTCTCATACGCTGGTACTGAGTATGGAGGAGAATGCTGTGAGTTCCTTACCTACCCTACCCCTCCCCAACCCTCCTTCGCAATTCCCCACATTTGCTAATCCATCTATGAACAGGGTGTGGTAACTCAATCGTCAATGGAAATGGACCTGCCGCAGATGGTTGCAATATGGCCTGCAAGGGTAATAATGCAGAGATGTGCGGTGGTCCAAATCGCCTGACTACATTCCAGAGTGGTGGCGGCTCGAGCCCAACTCCACCTAATACCTCTAATCCGAGCAAATCTGGAAAACGCGGTATCACATACGATTCTAACAATGTCCATGGCGATTCGACATACGGAAATATGCTCAAGGGATATAGTAAGATTACTTGGGGCTATGATTGGGGATTCAAGAGTAACGGTTTGGATTCAAGTATTGAATTGTAAGTCTTTTGTTTCTCGCTCTTTTCCCCTTCCTGTTTGTTCACTTACTTCTTTCTTCTGAGTTGAATACTTGAAATACAACTAACCCAATCCCCAGCGTCCCAATGCTTTGGGGCCTCCCCAAGATCATGGATCAAAACTGGGTTTCCGCCGTCCAAACCGCAAAAAGCATACTCGGTTTCAACGAGCCTGATCTTACGTGGGAACAATCTTCCAATATGCTTCCTGAAGCCGCAGCCGCCGGATACAAATCCTACATTGAACAATTCAAAGGACAGGTGCGCATTGGTGGTCCAGGTGTTTTGTGGAATAACTGGAATAGTGTAAGCTCTCATCCAATCCATTCCTCCAAATCCATTTAAACTCTCTCAACACTCTATCCTCTCACCCCCTCATAATATCCATCTAACTAACCCCTCCCTCCCAGTGGTCCTCTGGCGGCTCCTACAGCTCGCGCACCTGGACGCAATATTTCCTCGGAAACTGCACTTCCTGCCACATCGACTTCGCGGCCATCCACTACTACCAAGACTGCGAGCCGAGCTCCGGCCAATCGGGCTCCGACTGGTTCATCGCCAACGTCACCAACGCGCACGAAACCCTCCAGCTGCCCATCTGGATCACGGAATTCCAATGCTACGGTTCGGACGCGCAGCAAGCCGCGTTTTTGCAAAAGGTGTTGCCGTGGTTGGATGCCCAGGATTATGTAGAGAGATACGCGTATTTTGGCGTGTTTCCGGGATTTTTGCTGGATGCTGCGGGGACGGCGTTGAGTTTGGCGGGGCAGGTGTATGTTAGTTAGAGAGGGGGTTGGGTTGAGCTTGTTTAGATGGTTTGGGGGGGTGGGGATGGGTTATGGGTGGTACTCTGCTTTTTGGGTTTTGTGAGGGTGGGTGCAGGCACCTTGTGATAGAGATGATTTATTTCTCGATGGAGGGACTATCAAATGAAGAATTTAAGCGATGGATTTGAAGATGTTTGAGACGAAGAGTGAATAGTTCGGATCTTCTCATGTGTCAGCCATTCCATTCCAAATTTGGAATGGCTTGAATGAAATCAGATCATACCTATTAACTAAAACTTCGAAAACTTCTGTGACCATTTTGAGGAGGAAAAAAATCTTGTTGTATAATTTATCCAAGCTCATGAGATAACATGAAAGCGTGCAAGCAGCTAGGTATGTAAAGTAGGTATTATAGTATATACGATAAGAGGCTGGCGCATGATATCATTATCATGATTACTCCATTTCTTCGTCTTTCATACTTGTGCAATTTCCTAACCCATCTTCATTACTGATCCCCTAGGGAACAGGAGCAAGAAATATATCGTAAAACAATTATAACTCCGCCTTCAATACTCCACGCCCAAAGATTTAATTGATCTCTTCGTAATATCATTAATTCATGTAATGGTTTTACACATTTACATTTCCACCCCTGTCTTCGACTCCTCTACCTACTGTCCTCATACAATGCCATGTTATGTCATGCCACTCTATGAAAGAAATATGAATTTAATATCCACTATCCCAAATATCCTCTTCACTCTTGATCATTTCCACAACCGGTGTTTTGGGCATAGCTCTCTTCATCTTCTTTCTATCCTCCTTGGTCACTAATCGCGGCGTAATCGGCATCATGGGTGTAAATGGTTGATAAGGACTATAAGGTACCGTGCCTCCACTGAAAGGTGTTTTAAGACCTCCAGTTCTGAGACCTCCGGTTTTCTGTCCATTATCCCTAGGAACGCGTTCGAGAATGGTGGTTTTGGTGGGGAGATTTGGAGAGAGCATATTTTGTTGAAATTGCTCGCGGAAGGGGAGAGAGCGAGTTGGTGCTGAGGAGGCGTTGCTAGCGGTTTGATAAGTGGAGGTAGAGCCGATAGCTGTGGATGATGAGGGGGAATCAGGAGAGGCAGAAGAACCATTCGAGGTTTGAGGTTTATGGAGGAGAGAGTTTTTTGAAGGAGCGGCTCGAAGAGGTCGGGAAAACATGGTTTTGGTGCGTTCTCCTGCTGATTGAGGAGAAGCAGTATTTGATTCGGATTTGAGGGAGATTTGGAGATTGCGGGTATTCAGGGAAGGAAGTTTTTGTTGAGGAGATACAGGTGATATTGTGTCGAGGGTCTCTGCTATACTGCGAGTAGGTGATTCACCGTTAGATGATGTGGAGCCGTACGGGACTTGATTTCTTGGAATTGGTGGCGGAGCTCTATGCACGTATCCTCGTGGTGTTAAAGGCTCTTCGTCCGATGCGGCATGTGAGAAAGTGGTTGAGTGTGGTGTCGCAATTGGAGATGAAATTCGTAAACCCCGAATTCCCTTTCTCCGTGGAGATTTAGGTGATTTGGGTACAGATCTAGGAGAGGTAAGAGCTGAAATTATGGAGGATGCTCGAGAGTGGGTCTTGGTTGATTTATTATCGTTGGTATTGATTTCCGAAGGTTTATGTTTCCCAAGTTTCCTTGATGATGGTTGTACTTGATGTGGAGCTACCGTAGATACTCCTCCAGGTACCATGGGAGGAGGCATGTTTCTTACATCCATTCCTGCAGCCTTTGCTTCCTCTTGCTCCATCACATGAGCGTATAGATCCTCCAGATTTCGATTCATCATTTCTCGATCAGCTTCAACAATCTTATTATCAATACTAGGTTGACTTTGATGCGAATATATACTTTGGTGTATACTGTGATGTCGTTGAGTAGGGTAAACGTAAGGATTTGTGTATGATTCGTGTACTGAAGGGAAAACAAAAGCGTTTGGGTCGGGATTGATTGCTGGTGCGAAGCACTTTTTATCTGGAGATGGCCAGGAAAAGTTTCGAAGGTTTGATGGAGAAACTGGAGTTGGACCTGATGATCCAGTATAAACGCCGGCAAATGTTGAGTCGACTAATTCCACCTCCAAGGCTCTAGCTTCTAATTCAACTTGCCTTCGTAACCTTTTCCCAAGAGTAATTATGAGAATTCCCACGATGCAAAGAGAGAATAGATATGCACCTATGATACCACCAATCTGAGCTGGTAGAAGTGCCTTATTCCGTGAAGCTCCGGCTGAAAGAGGTGGACCGTCTTCTGGTGGTGGTGCTGGTGACCAATCTATTCCCAATGGATTACTTCGAGGAAGTTTTCTTGTTGAGATTGGATTCGCGAATACCTTGATAGGTAAAAGAGCGAGAGTCGAGAAGATGCAAAGAAGGGACGATAATGAAGTGGATGTTGAGTAAATCAAAAGAATGGACGATGGTATATTGATACGATCTGATTCACCTCGACGCATTTTGTGTATGTGATGATACAATTGACCTCTTTTATAGCCTCAACATTTCTAATGGAGCATGTTGTAAGTGTATCATAAACTCCCGTTGAAACAATTTTAGATATTTTGAGATAACAAGTGACATGAAGTGTTCCAGCTTTTCGATTTCAAGGGGGGATGAATTGATGTATATACGGGAGTGAAATCCTCCAAAGCCGGCAAAGCTGCATGCTGCACAACTGCATACTACCTATTATTGTTCTGCGAGAGATGCGTACCTACATGCCTACCTAGGCAACATCGAGTATAGATGTTCGAGTGCAAGGCTATCTCGTGATTGGATTGGATGAAGGGAATGAAGTGATAGAATATCTGTTTGGTCGATGTGCATTTTGTATGGTCAAGGAAGAAGAGAATGAGATGCTCTCATGGCAGTATTTGATAGCGCCCGGAAGATAGATTGACCAATGAAATAATAGAACGATGAGAATTCCCAGGGATCAAAAGGGAATATCAACAAATATAGTCAATGCAGATACTTAATTGGGAGAAATATCCATCGTCCTCGTTGGGGCTGCAGTCAGCTTTTCGTATGATCCGAGAGTGAAGGGTGATGTTTGATGTGGTTGGTTGAAGAGATGTGAAGAGATGTGAAGAGATGTGAAGAGATGTGAAGAGATGTGAAGAGAGTGAAGGGTGCAGAAAGGGAAGAAGATGTGAGAAGATGTTACCGTCCTCTTATGCTTGTTCTGCATTGTGATTGGATGATTATTATGGATATTGGCATTATTTTTTAAGCGCCCGGGAAAGAGGTGGGCTCGAGGTGGGGTGGTCAGCTCAGCCTGTCATTTATCCGGAAGTGGGTTACAACTACCGAATCCCAATATGTATCGATATCCATACTGCGCGAGCTGGGGAAAAGAGTCAAATTTCTCTCAATGGCTCTCGTCGTAACCTTAGCTACTTCCATCACATCATATCACATCACGCCAATCAATGGCTTGGATCATCCTCATCATCATATCAATCTGGACGCCAGCTACCATATATACACGAATAACATCAGAACAACTGCGCAGGTCCATGATTATATCTTGTGTGTGCACGATAATACATGGGGGCGGATACTGACAGGAAGAAACGAAACAATCTTTCGATACAATTCTTTGTACTCGTCCTCTTTTTCCATATATAGCATGACATTTAGCATGACATTGGGCACGACTCAAGGAATCCACCCACTGAATATTACTTCCAGAAGAGAGAGGCTTCATATCCTCACTACTCAGTTGGGTAGCCAGGCCAAGCCAGGTTCAGCAACCCAGGCTACACAATTAGAGGCCAGTCCTCCTCTCATGGAGAATTGTTCAATCCTAATTCTCATCATTCATATGCAAAGTATACCTATCACCCCATATATCTCATCGCGAATTGGGTCCTACTTGGTATCTGCCATTCGAAGCTCTGTATGTTTAGTGAACAATACACAGAACTTATATTGATTGAATTATGATAAGCTTTCAAGATATATTGTTCTGGACCCCGCAGAAGATCATTCAACTTGTCTGTCCCCCAGAGCCCCCCACCTTCCTGCATGCGATTCACGTTCTTGCCATTTGAATCTTGTATGAAATTTAGTTCTACTCGATTGAAGAAAATCTAGCCAAGATTCCTGCTATCCTTACTTCTTGTGTTTGATTTATTTGCCGCCTACTACATATGTTCAATTTTGCTTTCGTTGTTTCGGATCCCTTCTACCACTTCTGCTCAGCAAAGACCACCGTGCTTTCCCCTTACATTCCTATCTTTTCTTTTGCCTTGCCTAAAATTCTCTGACTTGTACTTGGGGCCCGGTCCCTTTTTCTTGCATCCAAGTTTTGTTGCTTGTGTTTTTCTTTGATGGCTGGACTTGCATCGTATGCATCGTATATACCACCGTTGCTCTTTCCAGTGTTAGCGATCTCTATTTTTATTTGCCGTGGCTCTGCAGACGATGGCTGTGTACTCGAAGACGACGATGTTTTCACGGTTCTTGCATTTGCTAGAGTGTTTTTTTTCGTTGTCTTTTTTGTCTCTTTCTTTGTCTTTGAAGTTGCTTCCATCTTGCAATCTTGGTCTGGAATATTTGTTCTGTTATTTCTTAAAGTAAAATTCTTAGGGTTTGAATATTTGTTGATGTGATATAATTTTTAGTCTACTCTCGACTGTATTCTCGTCCTTATATACATTTTAGTTTGCTGTTCTACTAAACATCGCCGTGTCCTATTCCCACTTAATTGAACGTTACATGAATTCATTTGGATAAATCAGTTCACGGTCGTGGGCGGTGTTAGCCTGCGACCGATGCTATTATTATCACATGTTTCTCGTACGAGACCTTAATTGACGTAAAAAAAAAACTTCCATAACTCATCATGTCTGTCCGTTTGCTCTTCTTCTTCAACATTACCACAAAGTGTGTATCAGTAAAAGCTGTTGTCAACTCGTCAAATCAATTATATTCAACATCGAAATCATCATGCTTGAAAGACCGTTTCGGAGTCATATCTGGCCACAGCCCAGATTTTCTCAATATTAGCGGTCCCGTAGCTCTCTAACAGTTTCTCCGTCTTGCATGTATCATCCAGATAAATAAATTGATTACGATTGACCGATGCCAATAGCATAGTCACTTGGTTGGAACAAATCATTGTGGCCCTCGCCATTTTATGCCAAGTAATATTGGAATATCGAATGTAAGCCACGAGTACTTTTGTGAGATGAGTGATAATTTTTTACATACAGATAAGCGTATCCTTAAACTGACCAAATTCAAGCATATCACCACCCTCTATAACGTCAATCTGGCCAAACGTAGTCGGGATAAGTTGGAACGTATTTTGCTTAATCTAATTACCAATTGATCCACTGTTGGTTGTGGGAATCGAAGCCTTGTGAAGTTGTGCCGACCAACTGCAAGTATGGCTTTACGTACCTGTAGCTACCTGTCTGCTCGAGGTCGATTATAAGATCGGTCGTAATGGTAACATTCATGGAATCGAATGTATTTTTGGGCACTGCCAGAAACTCTGTGACCGCTGAAGTAGCCACGGCGGGGCTTGTAAAACCATACGCGCTGACAACAGTAGTTGGCCTCGTTAATGTAGGGTGTTGCCGAATTTTGATGGCAGAGCAGATTAGATCATTGTTGATTCAGTTATCAAAGGCAATCATGGCTTGGGGTTTCTGGGCTGTAGTGCTATCTGGATCTGTCCCAATACCTCGCCAGATATTATTTGGCGACCAGCAAAAGCCGCCAAATATAGTCTAGTGACGGCTCCAAGATTTCTTGAGACGCCTTTCAATGTTTGAAAGAAGCTTGATTTAGTTCTGTTCTTGGCGTTGATCATTGTGATATTCGCAAGTGCGATGTGGAAGTTTCTAAAGGTTAAAGTAACCTCGACGCTTCCAATGATGCTGCACGATCTCCAGCAACAGTAATGCCATACGTGACCATCGTCTCATGTACTGATGATAAGCACAACGCTTCAAAGATGAGGTTATTCGACGTCAATCTTAGGGTACTGCATGGATGGATGATAAAGTGCTTCATGAATAGTTTGAAGTTGTGCTGTTTGTGGCGGTACCATTAGTATGTGAAGTTACTACCGCCACAAACAAAACGACGGCTTTCTCGTGTCTTATTTTGAATCGCGAACTGGGTGGTTAGGATGTTCGAGGACACTTAGGTATCAACGCGAGGAAGAAAACATCTATGCACTACCACGAAGTTTGGTGTTGAAGACAATGATCGGTGAAGATCTACAGAAGATAAATTAACACACGCCCATTCCTGATGACATCTGAAAGTGACTAGCCCGAGTACCTAAGTACTGACATCATGCAGATGGGGCTGAGATGTGGCGGGTATATACTCAGTAGTAAAAATGTTTTCAAACTCAATCATCCAGAAGCAAAACCTCTTCGAGATAAATGGTGACACCCTGTTCTCGAGAACAGTAAAGTTTATGGCGTATCCTTCAGCTACACACCATGCACTTCAATCAAACACAGCAATTTAGTTAATTGTCGATGTTAGATCTTTCTTTTACGGCTATCGTGAATGTTAAAAGAGCTAAGTAGCAACAGAGCTTAAAAGGATTCACCCACCAACTGAACATTCTGGATGATTGAACGATTAATAATCGCCGACCTTAAAATGCTAGAATTGTCTCATTGGGGTTGATTAAACTTTTGATACCCCTGAAAAAGGAATCCTCATAGAATATCACTCAAATAAGTTTAGTTGTTCAGCTGGCTAGGGCGTGGAGTTGGTAGGTGAACCGTTCCAGTTAATATTGTTTCCAGTGTGTAATCGTAGGCTAATAATTAGCCTACGATCTGGTGGAAACCACTGTCCCGGTATCGAATCAATAGTATCGCCTCAATGATCACAGGCTTTTTATTATTATCTCTAATAACTTTTCCTCATCGATCGACCGATCTCACATTTTATTTGGTGCTGCGAGCAGAGTGTCGGTGATTAATTGTGACATGTGCTATTATATAAAGTTGATCCTGTTAAGGGTTCTATAGTCTGTGCTAAACCTTAGTATTCCAGTAGGGTGGAATATTGATCACATTGGGAATCGACAACAAGAATTGTGATCATGAATCTGAAGTAATCAAGCAAAAGATCTACATTCCGCCTCATGTGGATTCAAGTTCGAATTTATGGGGATAGCGACAAGAAAATTGTTATTGTTAGCAGATCGTGGAATAGAAGTCATCTCATCGTAGATCTGCGACATTTCGATTAAGGTTCACCTAGTAACTCTAGTCCAACTTTAATCAAACATATACCATATCAAGAGACAAGTCAAGACCACCATGTGTCCCCTATCCCCACGAATGTTTGGAGAAATACATCGTGAATGCAGATTTTGCCACGTTATTAGGTCTAGACCACCTCCCATAGAAAATTAATCTTACAAAATTTGACTCTTTCATATCTCTTCAATCTAGGGTTGAAACCTTTTGCGAATCGAAAAGATCTATCATCTACTTTTGTAAATATAACAATGGATACCCATTGAAATAAAATAGACTGGCAAATTATGTTCCATGATTAATATACCGACGTTCCTGCTCGAACCTCGAAATATTTCTCAACATATTTCCAATGTCTTCACCGATAGCAGCCTTACCCGCACCGGAGGGTTACATCGTGAACTTTGATAATCCGGCAAGATATGAAGATATAACTGGATATTGGGTTTTTGGCGTCGGGACCATATTGAGCTTTTCGTTTTTGTGTATGAGGATTTACACAAAAGCGGTTGTTTCGAGGAGTTTTGCTGCTGAGGATGGTAAGTTGTTTCTATCATACTGCCATATTGGAAGACTTGCTAACTCATCTTCGGAACGCAGTCTGTTTGATTATGGCTTGGGTGAGTGATTTGATTCGAGCGGATGGCATTGTCATACTAAATGACGAAATAGCTTGCGGGAGTTAGTGTGCAGGCACTTTTTGTTTGTGCGCGAAATCCACGAGCCTACTGTGAAAAGAAAAACAAAGCTGATTGATCTCGTGCAGTCATGTGGATTCACAAAGCCATGGGCGTACACGCGTGGGAAATTCCCATCGCAAGATATCATTTGTACGGCAAGGTGAGGTTTCCACCAACGTACGCATGGGCGTCGACGAAGGAAGTTCCTCCATCTAACGTCTTTCTTCGCTGTAGCTGATTATGAGCTCTTCGGTCATCTATGTGGCCTGTCTCGGATTATCCAAATTTTCGCTCCTGCTCTTCTACAATCGTCTATCGCCCGTTCAGTGGTTTCGAAATGCGGTGTACTTTCTCATGATTGTAGTTGTGGGCCATAGTTTCGCTCTCATCTTTGCGCTTATTTTTCTGTGCAAACCGCTGGCTATGAATTGGGATTACGATATTATCGATGGGACGTGCATTGATCGAACCGCGATATACATCGCGACAGCTGCTTTGAATGTCGCTACGGATATTGCACTCCTCGCTTTGGTCATTCCGATGGTTATAGATTTGCAGATGCCGAGGATTCAGAAAGTGGGCTTGATTGTGATTTTTATGGTTGGCTCGCTGTAAGTGGAAATTTCTCTTTCTTTACTTGAATGCACTTTGGCATCGAGGAAAGAGCGCGGGTGCTGATTTTCGAGGATATAGGACTTGTGTAACGAGTATGATACGTTTGAAGATCATGTTACCTCTTCTCATGGCACCGGATCAGACATGGGCTGTTTCGGTTCCTTGCATATGGATGTAGGTATTTTCCTTTCTATCACCTAGCACCTAGTACCCATTACCTCTCCCCCTTCCACGTATTTGTCAAAATTAACCCCAACCCAAAACATCCGAGCATACTAATCCTTTCCCCACAGTATCGTAGAAGCCAACCTCGTAACCATCTGCGGCTCCTTCCCCATCATCCGGCAATTCGCCAAACACGTTGCGCCGGGATGGATCGGCGAAGCCACGTGCGATTCTCTGGAGAACTCGGGCTCTCGTCTCTGTGATCTCGAAACGATAGGGCAGAAATCGTCGAAGAAGAAGAAGAAGGTGAGATATGCAATCGAGTCGCTGGATGATGATGCTTTTGATTTGAAGCTGGATGGAAGGTGTGTGGAACACAGGGTGGAGATCACAGCTATTGGGAGAGCGTTAACGAGAGAGAGAAGTATGGAGGATTTGGAGGATTATGGGATTGAACCGCATGCAAGATAAAGATTGGTTTTTTTTACTGATGTGGCGTTTTGGGAAGGAAATAGTTTATAGGATATAGATATACGTTACTGATGAATTAAAAGATTGGGCTGAGTTATGTTATGGAGGCCCATGGATTTTATTTTTAAATTACTATCTACCTACTCTTGTATGTGATTACGGATACAATTCAAACAGTCAATGAAAGTAGAGAGCATCAGTAATCATCAACACAATGGCTATTCATTTGCGAAAATTACTTGAAGAGGGAACTTAGTGGTCAGATTCAAGTGGAATATTTTTCTCGTTATCTACAGAACTCCTTTAAAAGGTTCGATACACGAGGCCCCGCATGACAACTCCTCTCATCCAGTCCTATCAAACCATTCCTAACTTTTTCTTCAACCCTTCAATCATTCTTTCTTTCTTTTTTTGGGAAAGAAATCCTCTAAACGGATCCGACAGCCTTGACAATAAATGCACTTGCGGTTGGTGCATCATTTGAGTATGTCAAATCTAGAACATCCACATTATCAGTAAACGCATTCCCAAGATTCTCCATCCAAGATTTCAAATCCCAAGCACTCTCCCCCCCTTTTCAAGAAAATAATCAAAAAATCAAAAAAAAAAAAAAAACTCACGTGTAGTAAATCCACCACTTCCAGTACAGATGATATCCTGATCGTGGCAAATGCTCAACACCTTACTGCTTGGGACTGTTCCCACAGCTTGGCCGCGGTCTGGGTCGCCAAATACGACTACTGCGGCAATCTTGGCCGTTACAGCTGCAGAGAGTGTTTTGGCTGCTTTGTGCACGAGTTGCGCACCTTGAGAGTAGCCGGATAGGACGAGTTTGGCGGAGGGGCATTTGGTGGAGGCGGAGTTGATGAGAGTGGCCATGGTACTGGAGCCGGCTGAGTCGCCGCCGGCGAGGTAGCTAGAGGGGGGGTTAGTTTTGGGTGGGAAGGAAAGATGGAATGGGAGTGAATGAGATTGGCGTACCCTAATACACTGGCGGAATAATCAACACCCTGCACTGTAACTTTGGCAGTTGTAAGTGCGGATCTCAAGTTGGTGAAGACGTAGGGTCCGACGTCCTGGCCGACATTTCCCTCTTGAATATTGTTAGTGAGATGATTTTGAAGAAACAAAAAACGAGGTTTCAATACAAACATACCTTCATTAGTACCCCTTGCGAAAATCACAATGACGGGTTTGCAAGCATCAGTAGTCAAGCCATTCTCTGTAGTTACAACAGCAGCAGCAGAGTTTTCAAAAAAGTGTGCGGTTGTAGCGAGATGTTCGGTGGTTGTTACTTGGGCTGCAGCTTGAACCTCTACTGCTGCATCGACTTCCGATTCTGCGACTGGAAGAGCGAAGGCAAGAGAAGAAACGGAAAGGAGAAGGGGGATTGAGAATCTCATTTTGAGGGTGCGGATCTGCCTAGGCGGAGCCTGGTTAAAGAAGTGGTATGGGAATGGAGTGAGGATGAAGTGAGAGGAGATGGAAGGACCGAAGAGAGTACAATGAAGATGGCACTCGAGCTTACGGATTCTCTAGACATCGAGGGGAAGTGAGTATTTATGTTTGTACCAAGCCTCAGTTCTTTTCCATTCTCTTTGTAAACCTCGTGTTGCTATCCCCTCTCTGAATGGACATCCCGAGGTCGTTGCAATACACACTTGCATACATACACACATACATACGAAACAAGCCAATCGGAGCCACGTATCAGCATAGGAAGTTCGAATGCATCTACACACCTGCATGTAATGCCAAATTCAAAATAGCTCAACCAAGCCCCTCTTTAATCTTTCAAATTCACTCCCACTCTTCTCATATCCAGATTCTACCCACTTTCTATCTCCATCCAAGAAGAAAATCGAAGCCAAGCTCCATATAATCCATCTTTCTCTCACTTCTTTGGTCGATCGACTAACATGTACACTTAGCCGAATCAAATATCACACCCTCTTCAAGATTTTGTGGGTTCCGGACCTGCGTATAGATGCAGGTGATGAACCATTGGAGGTCTGACCTTCCTGTATTGATACATAACACCGTGCCTTTGAGCAGTAGTCGTAAACCAATGGTATTGGCATTAACATTGTTATTGGCATATAATAACAGCCTCGGTTCTCTTGACAACAGGCGGGGAAAAAGAGGGAGGAGAAAGTTCGATAGATGTTCTATTCTTTAAACTTTCGGCTTAATTCTTGGCTGCAGGATCGGAGGGTTTCGGGTGGACGTCGGATCCCTGGATGAGTATATCTTCTTAAAAAGGAAAGAAGGTAGGTGTTGGCGGGAACAACTCCAAGTGGATTATTGAAGTTTTTGTTTTATCATAATGACTTCTGTTGAGACTTGCGCAAGAGATACTTTCCTTGCCGATTCCAAATAGCATTTCGTATGTTTCGACATTGCTGATGTATTGGTATTTGGTTCCGGTCTTACTTTGCTTTCAGATATTGTAATCCATAGTCCTATGGTTTGCATTCCACTTTGCACGTGGAGGAGAAGTACAACACTATATGTAATATACATCCAATACTTCTGGATATCTGCAGCGTCCAAGAATATCTAGTCGACCCAGCCAATCCAATTTCAATCGTTTAAAATAATCCGTCTCTACTATAACCATGAAGATTCATGTGAGACTCGCTTTCGTCCAACTCATCCACATGCCTTCCCAACAAAGACCACTGATCCGTTTGCTGTATCATTGGCAATGGAAATTACTAAACAAACTTGCTCATTCTTGACAGAAAACGAAGCGAAATAAAGAAACAAAGACAAATCATCAAATCAGATACCCACTTTAGCACCTTGGCCCGTGATAGCTCCAAGCTCTCAACATTGAGAGGGATGCCGGTCCCAAATCTCCCCGCAAATCCCATTCTACCCTCTACCCTCTACCCTCTACCCTCTACCCTCTACCCTCTACCCTCTACCCTCTACCCTCTACCCTCTATCCAACCCACCCTCCAACCTCCAACAAAACGGCAGAATTGCGGGGGTGGAGTCCTCTACCTAGTGAATTCTCCTACCCGCCTCACTAATTTTCCGTCTTTGGACATATCCTCCGAATATAACTTACTAATCTCTGCAACCTGCCTACTCCACCCCTTCACACCGTTTTCCATCAAAAGAATAAGGATGAACTACCGACATACATCAAACATGATACGCACTGTATGCGAATTTCTCGGGGTGCATGTCACTTATGCATGAGAGGTATATGGAGCTAGGGACTTTCCATAACAGGAAGGAGGGTATGTGATAGAGATCATTCGGTCGTTTCTTCATTTCGCTTTGGGGGGATGAAGTGTTTAGAATAGGAAATTTGGGGTTATAGATTACATCATTTTATCACGGAAGATTTTTCCTTGCATCTTCTACCCCATAATCTCTCTTGGCATTGATCCTATTGACTGGGCATCAATTTCTACCGAGGCCTGATATGAAAATAGAGTCAAGGTATGTAGAGTAAAGAGAATCTTTGAGATTACATTGTACTTCGTAGCAATGTCGAAAGTACTACATTTATTCTCAATGTACAATCAAGCTCATCTACTATTTGCAATTAACCAATCATCCAGGCACATGTAACCCAGCCTATGTCCCAATCTTTCATATACTATACAAAAGTACCAACCCCGTAAATAATCCCAGATTCCCACCAACGCAAGTCCTCATCTCCGATATAACCAATACAGAATCCCACCTCCTTCTCTCCTTCCCTCATCTCAAAATCTTCCTCCTACCAATCGATCCAAACACCTCCCGGCAATACTCCCCTCATGACTCCCCAATGCCCTTTCGCACTTTTATCCTGCCACTCCTGCAACCTCCCCGTCTCGTTCCTCCTCAATACCCCCGCAAAAGCTTCTTCTCCTTTCTCTTCTCCCAACTTTAACTCTTCGTCTTCTATCTCCCACTTTGGTAATAAAAATGCTCTTCTCGCATTACTTCTCAAAAAGTCCTTTTCAATTGGTTTGCGGAATGTGATTGATGGCGCAGAAGTTTCAGGACCCAAAGAAGGCGTTTCGGAAAGGGGCTTTTTGCAAAAGATCACCATGTTAGTGAAATCTTGTCCCGTTTCCGCAATGTGTTGATCTGTTGGTGCTTCGGCCTCACGGTAAATACGACAGGTGGGAAATAGTGAGCGAATCGTACGGTGAATGATTAGGAAAGGGGGAAGCAGGAAGTCTCCAGCGTAGTTCTATAGGTAATTAGTACAAAAACTTTAGAATGTCAAGAAGGATAAAACGTACAATGGCGATAACACCACCCGGTTCCAAGATATCATGAAGATCCTTCAAAAACTCATATGTAAATAGTTCAACAGGTTCAGCTCCGCCTGTGAATACATCATGCACAATGTAGTTGAACTTCTTTCCTTGAGCTGCAAAATTTGATGCGACAGATACGGCGTCCTCAATAATAGTTTCTTGAGGCTCAGGAAGAGAAAAGTATTTCCGAGCGAAATCAACCACAACGGGATCAATCTCCACCAAAGTAGTGTGAATTCCATGGGAGATCAAAGCGGCTGGAGTAGTACCGATACCGAGACCACTATCTAATATCAGTATTATGAACAATTCGGTATGGAAAAATCTGAGAAACTCACATGACCAATGCACTAGCATCCTCGTCTTTGATTGGCTTTTCGACTTCAATCAAACGTATTGCCTCTAACATCACAAAAATTCCATAAATAGGCTCAGCAAGTCCTTTGGCCTTTTTCCCATTGACCAACCATTCTCCTCCCAAAAGACTATGATCACAACGCATAGCACGGAATCCATTGCCCATTGTCAAACTTTCAATAACGGACACATACCCAGTCAGAGATTCTTTTCGTTCAAGGATCGACCAACCATTTGCATTCATCGTGCTATTAAGTTGATTAATCGCATATGGCGTTGGAACATGTACATTAAACAATGCAGTATGGAATAGTGCTGGTAGTATCCAAAGTAGAAGCTTCGAAGGAGCAAAAGCTGAATATAAAGCCTGGAGTACAATTTGCATTCCAAGGCGTGTGAAAATGATGGATTGACCAATGTATTGAGAGATCTGATTTGCGGATATGTATTTCACAGTTTTGAAAAAGATGTATGAGAGAATACCTGGCGCTGCATCGGAAATCCAAGGCCATCGACCAGATGTGAGTTCTAAATCGTCCAGTGTAGTCGCCGTACACGAGACGGAAAGGATGAGCAGAGGTAAAAATGTGAGTCCTTCCGTAATAGGAGGTCCAAGATTAGCTCCCATATAACCACTCAACTTGAAGAGGAAATACTGGGTCACTGGAATGTAAGCGGCGATAATTGGAAGAAGTTGGACTGGTCTCCTAATTGGAAGATAACGCCTAATGAATAGATTTGACGACCACCCTAAGAAGCAAGCCGTCATGACTCCTTTCGAATGCCATATTCCAGCCGGATATGATCCATAGACTGGAGAGAGAGTAAGTTGAGAGACATTTGAATATATGGCGGCGAGTGAAAGGAGGGAAGCTGATTGAGCCAAGACCCAAAGTTGAGATAAGAGAAATCTGGTCGTGGTCTCTTCTTGGGCTTTCGATGCTAAGGCTTTGAGCTCTTTCTCAAAATTATCTTGAGTAAATGATTGTAATTGTTCATCATTTATACTGGTGGGTTTCGATGATTTGGAAGGTTTTGGGGATGATTTTGGTGCCATGATATCTATGGTTTGAGATAGTTTAGAGAAGAGGGGTGAGGTGAGGTGAAGGTATTTAAACTCCCACCAATAATCTTATCAAGCAAAAAAGCAACAAATTAAATCTTCAACATTACTTCCACAAAAGAGAAGGATTCGAGTTTATATCTCAATGAACTGATATCTGAATACGTTGCGACAATTGTTTTGTTTGAGGCCAATGCGTGAATTCTGAAACGCGAAAGAACCACAAAACACGTGATGTTTTAAATGAAAGAAGAGGAACAAGTCCTCGCTCGGAGTTTGATGTTTTTGTTCCGTAAGAGAATTTAGGATGAATTGGGTTAAATTGGAGTTTTGACCATGGGATGAACTAGTGGGTTGAGATTAAGGACTTGGACGTGTACCGGTACTTATCATTACATCGTGATTCATATATTGAGTTCAGTGGGGGGGAAACTTTCAAAGCGACGGCTCCTTGTTAGTTTGTAAAGTAAATAGATAAATAAATAAATAGGTATATAAATAATGATACTACATTTTTAGGATAACGAAAAAGTTATACAGGATGCCATCGTTGCCCTGCGGAAGAGGGCCCAACATGAAAACCCTCGACCCCTATTGGGATGAAACATAATCATACAGGATGCCATCGTTGCCCTGCTGCCGAAGACTCAACATTAACGTCATCGACACCCCTCGCAACTCCATCAACAACATAATTTAGATCTTGATACCCTCCAAAATAGGCTTAGCCTCTTCACTCTTCCACCAACTAACTCCATCCTTTCCTGGGTACTCAAATTGATCCATGCTTGCTGCCTTCATCTCAACACTGTATCCTGGCTCCAATGGAGTCTGGTAGTAACCACCCTTAATGACGGATGGGTGCTCAAAGTGCTCATGGAGATGGTCAACATATTCGAGAACGCTCAACTTTCCACTGACTACGACGTAGTCAATGGTACTCAAATGTTGAGTATACTCTGGAAGTCCGACACCACCACTGTGTGGAACAATTGGAACACCGAACTTCTTGGCCATGAGGAGAACAGCCAAGACTTCATTGACCCCTCCCATTCGGCAGGCATCAATTTGGCAGACATCAATGGCTCCGCTGGCCAAAAGTTGTTTGAAGATAACTCTGTTTTGGCACATCTCACCAGTTGCAACACCGATTCCATATGGTTTGAGAGCTTCACGGATAGCCTTGTGACCGAGAATATCATCAGGAGAAGTGGGCTCCTCGATGAACCATGGCTTGAACTCTTTGAGTTGTTGCATATATTCAATAGCTTCAGGGACAGACCAGACCTATATGATTGTTAGTTTGGAAATGAATCATCACTACTCTGATGTAACATACCTGGTTTGCATCAACCATAAGAATGTTGCCCTTGTCGTAGCCAATAACTTCTCTGGCAATTGACAAACGTTCTCGGTCATCCGCAACAGATGTTCCGACCTTAAGTTTGAAATGTCTGTATCCCTTGGCCAAAGTTTCCTCCAAGAGCCCCTTCATCTTATCTTTGCCGTAACCCAACCATCCGGCACTTGTGGTATAAGCAGGAACAGCCTTGTTGTCCATGGCATCTTCAATTCTCTTTGCCTTTCCTCCCTCTTCAGCCTTCAACATAGCGATTGCCTCTTCAGGTGTAATAGCATCTGTGATATAACGGAAATCGATACAGCTGACGAATTCCTCCGGGCTCATGTCTGCAACGATTCTCCAGACAGGCTTGTTGAGTGTCTTGGCCCACAAATCCCAGATAGCATTGACGACGGCTCCAAGGGCAAGATGAATAACACCCTTTTCTGGACCAATCCATCTAAGTTGTGAATCGGAAACGAGATATCTCCAGGTTTGTCCCCAGTTTGAGACGAGGGAAGAAAGGGTACGTCCCTTGAGACGATCGGCGACATGGTCGATTGCAGCACATACGATATCGTTTCCACGACCAATTGTGAAAGTCTGCGAGAAGAAGTATTGGTTAGTAGGGTGTACATAGAGTAGTTGAAAGTAAACCAAATATTGTAATCATCTTACCATGCCATGACCGGAGAACTCGGAATCGGTCTTGAGAATACAGTATGCAGAACTGTAATCTCCAGCAGCGTTCATAGCATCTGAACCTGTCTTGTCGAGAGAGGTGGGAAATCGAACATCGCGAGTATCCCAACCTGTGATTGTAACTTCAGCCATGATGATTGATATGAGGCGAAATTGTAAGTAAAATAGGCAAATGAAGAAATGTGAGAATGAATGATTGATTGAAGAGGAAGAGAGAGTTGGAGAGAAGTATTTGACGTACAGATTGGGAAAGAAGCAGACAAATATATACAAATTCAACGAGCCATTGAAACGTTTGGGAAGAAGTCAAGAAGGCATAATCAATTGGCTCAACAGTGGGGCAATTGGACGGAAGTCAAAGGTTCGACGATGATTTCTGTGTTGTTTGCCTGTTTGGTCAATGACATTCAAGGATTTGGATTGGTGGAAGAATAGAGTTTCCTGTCAACCCCGCGCTATTTTTTTTGATCATTTACCTCACGCTCGCTCACGGTCCTTTTCCAATCCTCACTCTCCCCCATTTCACTCCACTCACACTTCACCACCCACAACTTCACTCCAATCACGCTTCACCATTCTTCACCATCCTTCACCATCCCCTCGTAACCCCCTGATTCGGAACCCCCACATTGTTCGAGATTTTGGTGGGAGAAAGAAAATCCGGGTGAGACTAATAAATTTTTGATATCCCAGCTAGTTGTCGGTAGGTATTCATCATTCATGGGATTCATATGTGGCATTCATGCAAATACCTACAATTGGAATTAATACAAAATTGCTCCATCAACCCATCATACCAGATTCATACGCCAGCAAGGTTGCAATGTTAACATGCAGAGCTTTTGCTCCTTCTTCCAATTCTTCCAGAACTCAATGCTCGATGAAAGACTTGGTATAACCTCGTCTTCTTCGCATTCAATTTCCACATCATGGCTCAACTATCGTTTCGAGGGCCTTCGTGGAAAACTTACACTACACATTGTTTATTATTTGATCAAAGCGGAACGAAGGACACCTCTCGTGACACTTCATGCATTGAAGTGTCAATATCTGGATGTGACCCCACCTATGGACCGAGTTAAGGAGGTTGCTCGACAGTAGTATTGAGACTTCAAATAGACTCAATGCTCCACTTCGTCAATTGAGATCATAGCCATTCATTTTGGAGGAACATTTGGTGGCAGTAAAATACTCAACCATTTGTGTCTCTTCTTCTTTCTGAATTTCTTGATGGAGAGGAAAGTATATTTTGATCGCTTACCAAGTCTTCTCGGATACCCGATGGGTAGGCCCTTTCAAGTTTCATACTGATATACCCGGAGACATGAGATCAACGAATTCAAGCTTTCCAGGGCCCATACACGTTCTTTCAGCCGAAGCTATCAGTGCAACTCTCTTACTGTACGTCCCGGGCCATCTGACAACCATCGCTAGGAATCGATACCAGATCTGGATCGGTTGAATGAGAGAGAACAATCTTATTCATTCTTCTGGATTGATTTTTAAAAACAGGGAAACTGCACAGACGTCAGCAGGTAAATGTATGCATTGCAGAATACAAAGAAAGAGGGTCGAAAATATCCAAAATTAACAAGCATCTAATGATTGTTTCTCTCGTTAGGAATCAAAGCAAAATATGAATGCTTCCTTACCTAGTGGTATCAGAAAATGAGCTATTCGGCTTTCCAAGAAGTTTGCCTGGAGATTAGATGAATTTTTGAACCCGAACATTTTCAATACATGTACATATCATAATTGCACTGGATGTTTCACATTTGCTGTGCCGTTTTTCCCTATGAATTACCAATTGGCTGGCATAAGGATACTCTACTCTATTCCCTGTTTTTGCTATTTTGGGGGCTCAGAATATGAATGGCCCGTCGGTGTAGATTTCTAAACAAACAAGCTCAAGTAATGTTTGAACAACGTAGGCTACTGGCCTTAACTCAGGATACGATTGGGAATTCCCCTTAAAAATTGATCAAGAATTCAGAGTGTAGGATCTTGAAATAAACAATGAACGAGCTTGACATTTATACAAGGATGCAAATTCTACCAACATACTTTATGTTGGTCTGATGCAATAGATGCATGGGTAGCACACACTACTCTCCTATCAAAAGACGAAAAAAAGCAAGTCCAAAGATTTCTCCCAGTGATGGTAAGATATTCCCAACAGATGGAACAAGCCATCTGAAGCGTGGCTGAGTAGAATGTTTGTTTTCTATGGGAAAATCTGAAAAGCTCTCCGTTGTCTATCGCTCCTTAATCATTGTACGAATGGATACTGCTGGAAACGTCTTATAGCTATCCACTGAGTATCAATAATGAATTCACGGGCCGTCGATTCGATAATTATCAAAGTAACGAAATTTGCAATTACTTCCAGACGTTCACTAATGCTCTGTAGGGATCGAAGTTTTTCTACTCAAACGGAACCCAATTCTTTCTTCGAGGAGTTACCTATGGGTCGGATTCGTTAGATATATTGGCTGACAGAGACGCTTGCGAGCGTGATATCAAGGCATTAGTATCTCTGGGGATCAATGTACTGCATGTTTATGGGATTGATTCAAGTCAAGATCATGGGGAATGCATGGAAAAATTCATGGAAAATGGTATCTATTTACTAATCGACCTACACATCACGTCTACTTATATCTACATCGATTCTACTACATGGACAAATCAAAAGTTCTCCGCCTATGTGGATATGGTTGATGCATTTGCTTTCTACACGAACACACTCGGATTCTATCTAGTCGACAATCCCGTTACAGATAGTTCCACTTCTTTAGCACCACTCTCTAAAGCAGCTGTGAGAGATGTAAAAGGTTACATTAAAGCAAGAGGCTATCGTTCTATACCCATTGGAGGATACGTTCTGACTGATAGCGATTACGCACAAGAGACCTATCGGCTGGCTGCAGATTACATGGCCTGTGGAAAT